ATCCACCGTATTCTCCGGACCTAGCACCGTGCGACTTTTTTCTCTTCCCAAAAATCAAGTCTGCGCTGAAAGGGACCAGGTTCGAGTCCGTGGATGCAGTGAAAGCAAAAGCGACGCAACTCTTGAAGAGCATAACACAAGATGACCTGCAGCACTGCTTCCAACAGTGGAAAATTCGCATGGAGCGGTGTAGGGATCGGGGAGGGGACTACATTGAAGGGGATAACATTTCGACTGTCTGATTTTTTTTTAATAAAGGGTTAGAGCATGAATCCGGTTTCTTTATTGCCACACCTTGTAATTTCCTGCTTTCTTCTAATACTACACGGACCACATGGAAAACCAAAGAAATAAAGATAAAGAGACAAACAGACAGCAAGGTGATCTCGTAAGACTCATAACGCTAAAAAATTATGGGGATTCACAGAGATGTGTACAGACTTAGAGGGATACACAGATAGAGAGCAAGGTGGTTTTATAAGTCTTCTTTTATTTTTTAAATAAGGAAAAAAGGCTAACAAGTGGCATAATCGTATATGAAGACTGGCTCAAACAGTTAAGGGCTATCAACCAGACGGATGAATGGATGTTGCACGACAGGGCTGAAGATCAGAGGACAGCCTTCGAGAAGGTTCAAACTAAGAGCAGTCTGCCTTGAGGTAAATGATGATAATAACTTATATATCCTGCAGTGACCTTGGTGATCACTCAGATAAGGCGCTGAGGCCAATAATTTTCTACTTGCTTCATGCTGGTTTCTTGCTTTGTTTGAAGTTCGATCCTGAAAGTGGAGGCAGTGCGTTCCTTCGAAACGTCATTGAACTTCTCCAGGGCTACACGGAATTACATTCAAGCAGACAGAACTCTACATTGTGATAGTTGTCAGAATCTCATATCCAATTTACCGGGATGTTCAGTTTATGCCTCTATAGCGGCGCGTCATAAAATACGGAGTGACTGCGAAAAATAATGGAACGTTAGTGAACATATCCGCTAAGATATTACACTGGTAGTTGCAACTAACAGTAAGGAAGCATTTCTGATGTTCTTGCACTTTTCCCATTGGCCGGTATTCTAGAAAATATAAAAAAACACGACGTTTCGGAATGAGTAGGTGTCTTCCCCCTCACCTGAGGACGGAAAGAGACTAGTTTCCGAAACGTCGTGTTTTCTGTTTTCTAGAATATCAAACGATGGAAAAGTTAAAAAACAGTAATTTTATGTGTTATACACCATCGTCATAACCCTTTAGAACCTATTTTTGAAGTTGTTAAATATTTTTTTCTCTGTAATAATATATTTTGATACTCAAATATTTTAGAATTAAAGCAAAACAAGACTCTATTCTGAGCCTTAAGCGGGACTCGATCTCACTATTCCAGGACTCCACCACGTGGTCGGCTAAACATTATTCTATATTATTTACAGAGAGTCTCTTCAGAATGGCACAACATAATGTTCTGTCATTCTCTACTTCCTTAATATCCTTCAGCTTCATATACTCTCTAAGAAAGGGTGTACAGAAGAATGGATTAAAGTAGCTATACACTTGAATTCGTTGAATAAGTCATTATCTGCACTTCTGGGCCACTCTTTCCGATGCCATTTTCATCTAATGTTTTATTCAAGACTTTCGACTTTGTGTCAGTAGAAATTAGTAATTTGATCGAAGATGGCTCAATTGTAATCTAATCCTGAAAGTTACTGTCAGTTTAAACATCCACAGTTCAACAAAATGCCCTGTGATTCATACAGGATATGGTATTTCAGGTTTCAGGGCTAGTCGCAGTTTCGAAGCAGGCTGGATCCACTGGCGATATCTGATATAGTTGAAAACTTTTCGATGTTAGATGTGCTAAGAAGGGGAATGCGATAGCTTAGTTGGTTGAGGCACTATGCTACAAACCGGAAGGTCGCGGGTTCGAAAAGATTTTAACTATTGTAATATAATTTATGGAATTCTTAGTAGGATAAATGATAGGATGAGGAAACTGATGAAAACCTTTATTTAATCTTAATAATCTTAATAGTTTGCATCCTGTTGTGTGTCTCATATAAGACATAAAGCATATAAGAATATAGCTTCTACACAACAACACTCTGTATTTTAAAACAAAGAAGACACTCCTGCATCAACATTTGTTTTATTAAACTTTCGTAGACGCGACATATTTCGGCCTCTATATCAGGCCATCATCAAGCGTACAGTTGCAGTTCAGCAGCTTAAAGCCGAACACTGTACGCCTTATTTAAGATTGCATGACGAAGGAAGTTCATAGCTGATCAGATCTATCCAAAGAAGTTGAAATTAGGAAGATATTTTTAGGATATATACCATACAATATCTTTGCATTTAGTCTCTTAAAACTTATTTATATTCGTTGTATGATTTAACGTCCCAAAAAAAGGGGCGGAAGTATAAATATTTTTATATGCAGCTCGACAGCTATGTGGTTTACCTCAGTGTACATAATTCAGAGCTTATGGACGGAAGATGAACATGCTTGTGTTTATATTTTTAATGTTTATTCCATTCCATTGCTATAATTACGCCACACGCCATCATGACGTCATTTGAAACAAGCGGATTGATAGGATGACCCACAACGACGTCTACCGTGGCTCGATTACATGACATTCTCTTTTCCTCTCAGAGCTACTCAGCGTCTCTGAACCGGAAATAGTCATTGAATGTAAATTGGTTTGGATCAGAAGTGGAAGAGAATTGGATACCATGGACACAAAGAAGACGTAACTTCCGCTCCGCTCGTTGCTTGTTCGAGAAACATAAAAGTGCCGTACTAAGGTCGGAATTCTCATTTCTTTTGTTTAAGTTTTTTTTAACAGAAAGAGAATACAACGAAGACGAATAGCAGTTTGCTGACAAAGAGCATTTCGCTTTCATCTCCAGAAGTCAGAAGGTTATGATGTTTTTAAGTGTGAATCACTCTGCTATCACGAAATATGATGAATGTGTCTTAAAGTGTAACCTACTTAATTAATGAAATTCTTAGTTTAGGAGAAACCCTACAGATATGGAAGGTAATATATCAAATAAATAGCCGCGGATATCCGTGTTACCACGTGGTAAATGTGATCATCCATGTCATATATAACGGAAATTAAATTAAAGTGACAAATTTCAGTATTACTAACTTTCATTAAAATTCATTGTATAGTTTTTTAGATGAAACATGCGGAGTTGTATGCACTTCGTACAGACTTGGCATACAAATGGGAGTCTCGAAGAGACTAAGGGCAGAATGAACTCAGATTCACGCTGCCACGTGTATTCTTTCGGAGGGCACAGCAACACCATGGAGGCGGACCGGATCTGGTGTTTGCTTTAAATTTTAATTACTTCTTAGAAAAGCTTGCGAAAATGTGTGTCGTCGTGTCAGCAGTTTTAAACAAACTGGAGATTAAACTTCATGAAACTATGATTTATTCTTCTGTACGTCAACTCGGTTTCTGAGTTTCAGGAAAAAGGGAGATTTAAAACACAATTGCTGGTAAGAATTCTGGTGTGTTACAAAGAATAAGCTACTCTGATGTGGAGAATATTACAAGACTACAAGTTATATATGTAAAAGGTAAAGGTAAAGCCATCCTTGTAATAGGCCGTGGAGGCCCATAGGTTTGTGAGACGTCGAGGCTCCCATATATTCTAGACAATCGGCTCACAGACGGCGGTAAGGTTGTCAGTCTTACACGCCGGCCTCCCTTTACCTCCCTTTACCCACCAGGAAGGTTTTTGGTACTCATTTCTGTTTTAGAGGCTGAGTCGGCCCCAGATCCATAGTGCGACTGGAAGCATTAAGTCAATTAAAAAATCCAGTGACCTCATTGGGAATCGAAACCGCGACCTTCCGGGTAGTAGCATAGTTCCCCACCACTAAAGTGAATAGAATGAATATTCTTTTATGCACCTATTGCTATATTCTTCCCTGCCTGCAGAGCGCGTTCAGACACAATGAGGCACCTTTCAGTGCAAATATGTGACAAATAGTACTGGAAACCACTTGCATGTTCTCGTCTAAAATGTTATGTTTTCTGCTTCCGCTGTTTAGAAGCTATAATAAAACGGAAAAATTTATGATTCTAGTCCGCATTTCCACATGACATATTTCATAGGAAACATATTAAGATGTGAAACAGAGTACATAAACTATAACAGAAAGCCGTACTTACGTTTTATGTATTAGACACATTCTTTCTGTTTCCTACGGAGACGAGTTTCCAGTTTTACTGCTGTACAGGTCATGACTTTAGAACAAGTTTGACATTGCACCTTTTAACTTTATGTACAATATATCCTTCACAGGATGTATTTTTATTTAATATTAAATGCGGTATTTGTATCTTCATCTTCTGCTTAGCACTGACTGTGGCGTTTTAGTTCTGAACCAATGAAATCCTTTAAGACTTTGTTAAACTACCCAGGACAGAGTCGTACACAACCTAACACAGAGTCCAGTTGAGTGGGTAAGGTTCCTAAGTTGTACACTGGAGGGACAGTTTTAAAATGTCAAACCAGCCACCGTCTATTCTCAGGGATTTATCCGCTGCTCTCATCACGTCCAGGAAAATTTTGGAAAGTTACTCACATTAGATTACCCACACTTCCTTCCAAATTCTTTCCAATTCATTATTCTAGAATCATCCTATTATTCCACAGTGCATGAACATGAGCTGCTGACAGCTTTGTTATTATCAATCTATTTAGTATTTTTTTTTGTATTTTTCTTGGGGTGGGGTGAGACTCAGGCAATTTGGTAATTCGGCCTCCAATTTTGGCCTATAGAACCACTCCCGGATGCTAGATGACGAAGAATGTGGAGCGGTTGTTAGAATGAGACTTGCCAGGAGAAGCCGAAATACTCGGAGAGAACCTGCCCCAGCGCCACTTTGTCCACAAGTCCCATATGACCTGACCTAGGCTTGAACCCGGGCCGGCTACTAACCGCCTGAGCTCCACGGCCTGACTTTAGCATCACTGAAACATCCCCCTCCTTAAAACTATAACACAATTTAGCGGTTTTGCTTCAATGTTAATAGAGGTCTGGTGCTCGACTTTAATCCCACAGACCGATTACTTTATCCGAAGAATAGTGACAGATACTGGTAACAAACTGCAGTGTTTATTAAAAGTTCTGTTTTCTAGGATATAGCGATGTGTTGTCCGTTGAAAGTCAACAGACGTTTCGGAAGTATATGGCGTCATCATTTTAGGGGTCGAAGAATAAACCGAACGAGAAGCCAGCGTGAAATCAGAGCTCTGCTTGCCATCTTTTACATTAGTTTCTTGGGACATGTTCATCTGAAACGTCGGTTTACTTTCAAGGAACTGAACAGCGTTATATAGCAGAAGACAGAACTGTCCGGTGAGTATGATTCTTCTAATTTGACGGATTGCTCTCTCTGGTCTGTGTCCATAGAGAATTAAATCTGACATTGAAATCTGATGTATTAGACAGTCGACAGAACGCCTGGAACTGGAGATAGGCCCGTCGCAAGGCCGTAAGGAAAACATGAACTCAGAAGAAATTCAGACAGGCTTCCATACATCGAATGAGATTCGGACCCACGATCCCAAAGTTTGAGCCGGCGAAGCCATTTCATGCCTTACACAAGCGGCGAAAGTACGGTTATTAACTGCAATGTAATTGAGATGCATGTATATCGGGTTTGTCAGTGACAGTACTAATAAATAATCATAAGGAATATTGGATACGGATAATTCAGTTATGCAGTGCTTTTTGTGTCCCATGCGACTCATGTTTCTTGCAAAGACTGCTAAAAGCATATATGGCCATTAGTTTATCACAGGACTTCGTAAACCTATGAATAATTTGTGTATATTTCATGGATATACTATACATACAGCGGATCGCTCGTATACCTTGTCGTCATATATTTCTATTGAGTGATATGTCGGTCAAAAGTTACGTAAGTAAGGAGCTAGCCGTTGCCTAGCAAAGATAAGGCGATACAAAGGCAAACACACAGGGTCTAGTTTGATACGACACGGACCACAGAGCAAACGACGTCTTTAAAAAGTCTATTTTTGCTTGTATTCTTTGCCGCAGGAATGTGTTTACCGAGCCGTTGCCTAGTCACGGTAAGAGGGACACACATACAGACACACAGACTGATGGGACGGATTTATTAAGTACGCCGTTGAAGTGGGCTCAGTTGCCGTGATATACCAAGTTTCATAAAGACTGGTTTAGGCATTACAAAATTTGTAGGAATGGATATACAGGCAACAGAAGCACAGACAACAAGGTGACCTCATAAGCCTGCTTTTATGTTTTTCAAAATAAGGATAGTAGGCTAAAAAGCGCCATTTCTTTCTCGTGGATAGACAAGAAGACAAATCTTGACAGCTGCTGTGAACTACAACTTTCAAGAAAACACAGCTAGAGGAAATATTTTATTTTTTAGATGATAGATCGTAGGGGAAACCCCTTCTTTCGTAGAGATCGAGTAAGGTGTAGTAAATGTGGCCCAAAAATTGCCATAGAAATTAAAATTCAATCGTATGGGATGCCGTATAGGCCGGTGGACATTTAGACTACAGAGAAACCTCCTGTATCCGACTTTAACTCTGAATCTGGAGACAATATGTTCCACCGAAGCGCCGGTAAATATCTACCAGACTGCAGAGCGTCACTTCCGAGGAGGCGGCAATTTTCATGACCATCGCCGTGAGAACTCTCATAAATTGAAAAGTCCCAAATCTCTTGAACTGTGTGTCAAATATGAAATCTTTGGAGCGTGTATCAACTTATTTTCAAGTACACGGTACAACCATTAAGGAACAGTAAGAAAAAAACTCTGGAGAAACCATTATTACTGAGGTTAATTTCTTAAAATTGCGCATCCTTTTTGCAGGACTCTTCTCCGTGTTGGTGGATTTGTTGGTGACCCCCACTGCTCCCACTTCCCCAAGGGGGTTATACGTAGCACTAGCCACGTGCCACGTCGTAGCCATGACGTCCGCTGTTTCTAACCCGATTGTGTACGGATGGCTCAACTCGAATATCAGGCGGGAATTCCTACAGCTCCTCCCGGCTAGGTGCGCATGTGCAGCTAATCGCCATTCTTCCAACGAGCGGGCTAAAGCCACAACCATAGGTAAGTCCAATCTGCATTGCTGTTACACCATACCTGGGTTTTTATTCTTCAAAAGCGCAGAGTGACTATTATGGTCAAATGAAGGTTTAAAACGTGCATTAGATTTCAGGAAAGCCCATGGCCTATCTTCTTGTCCTTACCACCTTCTTATCCCTATTATCCATGATAATGATGATAATGACGACGATAATTCAATTGAATTGAAGTTAATAATTATTTTTTACATGAAAATTTAACAGCCCAGAGGCCAGTTAAAATGATATCATGCGTAAGAAGAAAGCAACAACAACAACAAAACACGACTAAACAAAATAAAAACAAGTCATTTTATATAGTAATAGTGATAATAGTAGTAGTAATAATAATATAATTCAATTTAATTCTAGTCTTTATTATTTAGGTGCTGAGCCAACAACCACAAGGTCAATTACGGACTCAGCACAGTGCAGATAGAAGTAGTTACATACTGGACAAACACAGCATTAACAATAACAATAATAATAATAATAATAATAATAATAATAATAATAATAATTCCGTTACACTTNAATAAACAAATACACAGAATAAGCATCTAATTTAAAGTATAGGTAAAAAAGTAAACAGCAAAGCTATCCCTGTAACAGGCAGTGAAGGCCCAAAGGGTTGTGAGACGTCGAAGCTTCCACATTTTCTCTAGACAAGTGGCTCACAAATGGCGGTAAGGTTGTCAGCGCTATGCGCCGGCCGCCCTTTACCCCCTTGTAAGATTCTTGGTACTCATCTCTTAGAGGCTGAGTCGACCTTAGGGCCATAGTGCGGCTGGAAGATTTAGGTCAATTGAAAAATCCAATGACCTTATTGGGATTCGAACCCGCAATCTTCCGGCTTGTAGTATAGTGCCTCAACTAACTACCCAAAGGCGTACCCCTTACGAAAAATGGTAGTTTTCAAAAGTAACCAGAAGCTTAAGGACATTGGGATGCATTGTATGTGTGAGGTAAAGTAAGATGTTGTACTGGCGACGGTGACACAATTTCGCACAGTGTTACCACATTGACAATTTTAAGTTTCATAACTGGCAAGAAAATATTGCCGGCACCATAGAGTCTCTGCAATGGAATGTTTACGTCTTGTGTAAAAGAGGGCTGACTTTTTATTGATCGAATCTGGAATCTGTCAGGATCTTTTCTTCCTGTTTGTTCAGGTGTCGCCACTGAAGACGTGACGACAAGAACACAACTGAACCATTTCAGCGTGGCGCCTCTGAACAATGGACCGGTCGGCATGCAGCAAACAACAGCGGCTGAAAGCATGGCTCTGCTAACTACAGCAAGCAACAAAGATTCACAGAATCTCCAGGAGACTGGCGAGGTGTCCGTCCTTTAGCAAAACGACGAATAATCGATTTTACACTCACGAGTGTCATATATTGACTTTGAAGTAAGCCTAGTCTTTTAATAAGTACATTATTTAATTATAGTATTTGGATGAAGATGAGTCCTTTGGTGTTGTGGCCTCAAATGGGCCTATTGTTCCTGTCCTTGATGATAGATATTGTGAAGCGTTGGTTGAGTGGATGCTGGCAGCTGAAAGCCGAAATGCTAAGAAGAAAAACCTTTGCTCCGGTGCAACTTTTAGGTAGGCCGCACACCGGCACGCGTCAAGACATGTAACCGTCAAGACACGATATCTGCGACATGACTCAAAGAAAGGAGCACAGTTGAAATGAATGAGATTATGAAAACCGCCACACACCGGTCCGAGTCATGAGGCTACCTTACACCACATACTTCTCAGATTGAATCTAGGATTTTGTTTTGAGAACCGGGTACCAAACCGCCCGATGTATTGCACGGTTTTCTATATAGAAGGCCTGTGTAAGTTCAAAATAATTGAAATACGATAGGCGAATACCAACAGACCAGTAAACTAATGTTCCTCGCAGGTGTTTGCTTCCTGTATTCCTGCAGAGTGCGTTTGGGGGTAAAGCAACTGGAGCGTGAAACTAACGACACAACTTCGTCTGGTTCTCAGGTTAGAACGTGGGGAACCATATTCCTACTGCTGATATGCCTTCGGGAGGTGACGCTTAAATGCACCCGGGTGAATAGAACTGAACATTTATGTAGGGTACTGTATTCTGCGATGTTAGTCCTGCCGTCTAATAGACGTTCACCGACTTTTCGGATGAATTTAGTAACTCAGTCTTGAGGGTTACAGAGTTAGTGAAGTAAGCTGACTCTTCGACTTTGAGGTTTGTGGATATACATTCCTTCGAAATCTCTGTAAACACATATAAGTTTAGGCAGCGTAACATTCCAGAAAACAGTATTCCTCGTGAAGAAAGCAGTTTTCTGGGATTTGGCACCGTGTATATGTGGTGTTAACCGACGTTTCGGAGGAACGTATCGCCTCATCTTCAGGGTAGAAGAAAAAATATAAGAAATCTGCAAGCGAAGAGACCATGAGAACCGGTAAAAGCAGATAAACGGTGCCAAATCCCAGAAAACTGCTTTTTTCATAGTCACCGCCGTGAAAGCCTCAAATCTTACATAGTATTCCTCGTATTTGCTCCGTGAGAAACTCAAATATTTCTTTATCTTTACTTTTAAGTTCTAACCGGCTACCTATCGAGTGTATTGGCATAAAATCCGTTCACGATATCTGTGAAGTGAACACATATATGTGAAATGTCCAGCAATTAAGCGTTTCCCTCTTATCTTCCACCCATATGGCAAATTCCTGGAAGTACTATTCACAAGACACCTATCCTATTTAGAGCAGAACGTATAGCAGTAAGGAAATTTGTAAGTTTCTATGTAGTAAAATTTTAGTTCGTGTCATGAGGGGAGTGACTGGCACAAAGCTGGGCTAAATATCGATAAGAACTTCTAAATCCCTTTGGTATTACAGTCAGTTAATTAAATATTAAGTTCCCCACTTAAACGTCCGTGTTAACTCCACAGAACATGAGCGTTTTTGCTAACAATAATGTGAGGCATAAACTGAAAAGTTGTGTTTCTATGGTAGTCTTATTTGCCAGTGTTATGATGTCTGTCGCCTGTTTTAAAATCTGTCGTGTAGTATGTTCTTATCAAGAGTTAACTGTTAAAAGTGTTCAAACTTATTAAACATGTTTATACCTAGGGGATTTTTGTTTATTTTAAGGATAAAATCAGTGAGTCATCATGCAAAGTAAATTAATTAAAATTTATAATTTTCTTTGGACGCATAAGAAATTTTTAAAATTAGTTTATTTCCTTGTACATGCTGCAAGAATATTAATATGTTTAATTTAACACATCACTACAAAACACGACGTAAGATAGGATTTTTCGGTGTTATCAGTTTGCAGTTAGTAGGGATTAGGTTTTGATGGGGGAAAAAAAATTATATTCTACACACAGAATATCTGCAAAACACTGATCTAAAAAGTTTTAATACAGGTCGCATACCTATCATGAGATTTCTGTGCATTTCATACAAACGTTAATCGTTGCTTACGAAGTATTTCTACTTTAAACCACTGACGTCACAGCCTCCATATAAATGACTGGACATCCTACAGCCTACATAAAATAGTGCCAGCAGGTTGAAACGGATGTTGCCAGTCATATGGCATTACTTATTGCGAGGCAAGTCCTCTACTTTTCAGGGTATTTCATATATTAGTTTTACAGAACTTGACAGATTTAAATACTCCTCAATTATGAAGGGAATTTGACCAGTATAACCAAATATTTTGTGCTGGCAGATCCGAAAAAGGAACGCCTTACAACTCATGGACCCTCTCCTCGTTTTCCCATCTGACAAAATAATGTTACACCCTTTCAAGCCCCCCTGGTTCTCACGAGTACCATCTGCGTTAACTTTCTAAAACTCTGCATTTAGTCCACAGAGTGCATTTGTGTGTTTCGTATGGTTCTCACAATAAACAGAAAAATTTCCCTAAGAAAAATTAAAAGACTGATTTTTGTAGCGGAAGTGTAATTTTGGAGATTTTACAGACAACTATACAGAGAAAAGAATGATTATAAATTTGGCTGAAGCCATAATAATTTGATTTCTGTTCCCGGAGGTGCCAGGTTCGAAACATATAAAGCATAATTGCTATCTTGAAGGAGTTTTCTGTAACTTTCTACTGTTTCTCCAGGAAAAGCCCGGGATCGAACCTCAGTTAAGTCACAACCACTTCTATCCATATATCATAAAATAGATTAGATCTATAGCACATCCTTCGACGCAGTTTAGACTGAGTTATTTATTAACTGAATTACAGATGCCGAAGTAATAAGTCAAATAAACAAAAACACTCCGTGGTTTTAGTCCGCGAGCGTACTATACCGACTGAGCGACCACCGCTTGTCGGCGAAGTTAGTGCCAACTTTTGCGGATAGATGGTGTCACGTGGTCAGCTCAACGAATCCCAAAGGCCTTTAATTTCGGTTTTCAGACCGGAATAATAAGTCAAATACATTACTTTAATATTATGAACTTAGTTTATGCACTTTATGAGAAGAAAGCATAAACATCAGCAACATAGGTTCTTTATTAGTATTATTGTTACAGGGCGTGATGTGCTGTGGTCAAAGGCCTTCATTTAATTGACTTTGACAACTGTAGCTGTGTTTGTGCACCAGGATCAATGAAGTATGCAAAGCGTGTCTCTCGATCCACTTGTTCAGGGACGCTCTGCAAGTGGCTGTATTGTGTGGTACGGTGACGTAATTACATTAGCATGGATAGAAACACGGGATGCGTCATTATTTTAAAAAAAAATCTCATTAGCTCTTAGCAAGGTAACTCGTAGAAAACTTTTTATCTCTGGAAATGGAGTTCTCTTCACAAAGGAGAAAAGCTGACGGGTATTCTGTCTCTCTCAGATGGTGTCATTTCCCAAAGAACTAGGCTTATCACTTTAAGGGATATATTAACCTCCATTATAATATGATGTTACATTTAAAATAGGTCACAAACTCCATCATAGGAGCGAAGACTATCCCATAATTTTTCTACATTTAAAGTTTCATTGAGCATGTATGCTCAAGCCGTAAATTATCTGAATTGTATCCTGGAGGTGCTCGTTTCGAATCTGGGTCATTACACTGATTATTACGGCTAAGATTTTTAGCAGTTTTCCTTAATAATTCAGAAGACATGCTAGGATAGTACGCGTAATGCCTAATAAAGCAACGACCATTCCCTTACATGCTCTTATAAATTCAGTATTCACGTATGACCGTACAATTAGACGTCATAATTCAGAAGTTTACAGCTTCGCGTGCAAATAAAGCAGTCAATATTTCGATGTCAACATTATGTGTAGATACGAACGAAAAGAGCTTTTTGTTTCTTAAAACAGTAAATATTATCTTCTTGCGAGGCATTGCAGTCAGATGCTGTACGAGGTCTTCCGCTTTCTAGTTGGAAATCTTACTTTAAGCCTTTTATAGGCACCATCGAACGGGTGATCGGCCAGTCGCGAAGCCTCTATCTACAGAGTAAACAATAAAATAATTATCCTTGTAACAGACCATGGAAGATCATAGGGTTGTGAAGTGTCGAGGCTCGTACATTTCCTAGACAATCGGCTAACTGTCTAATCTGTTTACAGATGGAGGTGAGGTTGTCAGATATACGCGCTGGTCATACTTTTACCATCCACGAAGATTCCTGGTAGATTAACACGAATGTCCTTCGAAACCATGACCTAAGGGATCGAGTCTTATAAAATAGTACACGTTTCCGAATGTGCGATCATTTTAATCGGCAGAAGAGGAACTTGGGTTTACTCTTCAGAAAATAGGGACAAAAAACATTTATGAAGAGTTCTATCTTCTTAGAAATAACGCTGTATAGTCCGTTGAAAGTCAGCCGACGTTTCGGGGGAACATGTAAGCTCCATCTTCAGGGCAGCAGAATAAACCAAGCAAGAAACCATCATGAAAGCAGGTGACAAGAAAATACCTTACCATTTTGCTGTGGAGTTTTCTTTCGTTTATCCTTTGACCATGGAGATAGAGGCGATATGTTACACCGAAACGTCAACTTATTTTCTACAGAATACGCTGTGTTTTATTCAAGAAGACTGAACTATTCATAGCCACCCTTTTGATAACTTCAAATCCTAAAAGACGTTTAAGTAAACATATCATTAATCTCAGCTCTGGAATTAAAAACATATCGATTTAATGAGGAGGGCACTCTGTAACGTAATTGGCTGAAGCACTATGTTACAAGTCGGAAGGTCGCGGGTTCGAATCTCGATGAGATGGATATTTCAATTGACCTAATCCTTCCAGCTGCACTATGGCCCTGGGTTCGACTCAGTCTCTAACTGAAATGAGTATCAGAAATTTTGTCCATGATTTATGCTAACCGTCTTA